AAAAACTGTGACCGTGGTCTTTAAATTGCAGCATTTTCAAGCCCGAGGTCAAAAATCCAGCCCGTAGTAGGCTGCATCGTCAAAAGCTGGAACGGTCACGAGCCCATGATTAGCCAATCAAATTCCAGGATTTAGGATTCTGGCCCAATCAGATGCTTGAGAAAAAATAAATAGAGTATATTACGTGGCTGTGCACAGATAAGAAATTCATCTTCAAGTATTTACAACACAAGAAGAGAAATTTCGTATCTCAAAGCAGCCATGTAACGTTCTATTATTATATCAACACCAATAAAATACCGAAAAATTTCACTGTGGTTGCAAAAGGCGTGATTTATTATGCAATGATAGCAATTGTTACTTTCTCACTAAGAAGATATCATGTTTTTGCACGAAAGATCACCTGGTACATGTATTTCATTGGTGTTTCCAGAATCTCAAGGATTAAATAATCCTTTTACATTTGACAGCTAGATATTCCTAAGAAAAAAGTGTATCCATGGCATATAGTAACAACAAGGTGATCTGGTAGCCTTCAAAGTATGCATTATTTTATGAACAGAGAGGATTTTTTGATCACTGTTAAAGGGTTTTAGAGCACTTTCTGCCTAGCTCCAGGAAGAAATTATACGACAATGCTTTAGATGGAGAAGCTCTGCTTGGAATGGTAAGCTCCTAACAAGTGGCCTAAAATATCTACTTTTCTGCGTAAGCTTAGATCAAGCAGCTACATGTGCGCTTGTAAATTGCTGTCCTATCCTAGGCAGAAATAAATATACATGTAGGTCTCAACACAACAACTGGAATTGTAAAGATGAGAAACTTCCATTTTCCTGAGAAAATGAATTGAAAACTTGAAGAGAACAACACCCTGTGAACAGTTCCTTGACTCCTACACTGAATGAGAACATAGCACGGTGCTGGGCAGAGGAGAAATTAGCTGCTCGCAGGGTAACATGTTCAAAGGTACATGTACACAAGTAAGAACGTTAACCTCTCTTTCCCTACCACATCCCCCTCCCAAATACCTGGACTGATCTAGCATTGCTATGGTCATAAGTTTAAACTAAATGATTGTTTGATCCCTGATCAGCACGGTGAAACTAGCAGGAAAAGTACAGTCAGGGGAGATATGTTAATCTTCCAATGAGCCAACAGAATCAAGGTTGGGGTTGAGACAAGGGGTTGTGATAAATCAAACAAGAACTGAATTTTGAGCTCATATGATACACATGCATACTGCAAAATAATGCATATTATTTACCACATCTTCTTCTATGGTGTAAGCAACAGGAGGTGAGGCTTCTCCAGCACGGTGATGTTCAACCTCTCCAACACGAAGGACACCATTCTCCTTAAAAACCCACTCACTCAGGGCAATGGCCAGGTCTTGGTTTCCAGTTTTAGAGTACCTAACATCAAGTGATGCACTAGTTAGTACTATTTTTCAAAGAACGAGGCTCTCTTAAGCACTAAATAAGTGCACCATATTGTACTTCACTTTGTTTTTTCATTTGAAATGTTGAAACAATAAGAAATACATAATTTATCAACTTCCGAACCCCATCAAAATCTATTCAACTGGTCATGACATCACATAGTTTAAATAAACAGAAGTTAAAAAACTTCAAATTTTAATTTCTACAATTATAAATACTGTTAATAGAAACATACTGTTTGGAGCCAGCTCTTGCACTCTGCACAGGTCTGTTGAAGTACCTGCATGGTGAAATTACATGTTAACAGTAGGAAGTGAATAAGCAGTCAAAATAAAATTAAACTGCCACAATGAAGATGCTTAGGAAATATCCAATCGCTCTCTGGAAAGTAAAACATGTGCAAGATGGCACAGTCAAGGGCAATCAACAGAGAACAAACAAACAAGAACAAAAGGCCTTTTTTTTCCCCCTAACTAGCAAAGTTTATCAAACTACAATATCAATCAATACTGCACTGAATTTACTGGACTATAACCACAAATGTTCTGAGAGCAAATTGCTCACATGACAGTGAATGGCCAGGTTGACTATAAAAGTTGCAACTCATAACTTTAAACAGCATCAAGCACATACATGTAGTTTCACACAAAAAAATATGCATGTGGTCTAGAAGAGACTTCCATTTCAAAGTAATTTTGAAATTGCACACTTGTACATATTAAGTAGTGCTTGTTTCCAAAACAAATGTAGCAACTTACTCGTCACTGAAGAAATCCAAAGAGCCTGAGAACACAACCCTGGCATTGTTTCTGGCTTGAAGACCAGCAATCAACAGAGTGCTCTTGCCAACGGCATGTGGGTACTGCAACGAATGTTGGTAATGATAATTAGCAACATCAGGTGAGACAGTGGCCTGGCTAGTTTACATCCAAACCTCTACAAGTACCTAAGGGACAACTCAGTCAATTAACACTTAACATACCTCAGAGATCTTGACATCAGGATAGTAAGAGTAAGCAGTAGAGGATGCAGTCAACACCTCCATTACCAAAGGATTGTCAGTGTCAGCAGTCATTCTGTTAAGGGAATGCAACAGAGAATAAGTTACAGATTTCCACCTCACAGACTTAACTCTGCAGGTAATCTGTAGAACTGATCAATTCATGAAATAGGTCTATACTGTTTACAACAATGCAAGAGGACAGGTGATGAGAATTGCTTGATTATCTTAAATTATAACTTGATCATCTCCAAAAAATGCCCTCTTATTAGATGGAGGACAATGAAGATTAGATTTTCATAAGCACTTGTCCAGCAGAAAGTTCACTAGCCCAGACATACCCCTAGGAAAGAAGCTTGTTGAGTAAACAGCCTCTCGTACCCCCAATGCTTTTCCCAGCCATTCAAGGAAAATCAAAGATTCCAATCAACCCAAAATTTNGAATCTCATGTTGCTCAAGCAGAGATACCAGAAGACACAGGGGGGCGCACCACCCAATTTTAACATACCTACTAAATGCATCCATAGATAGAAGGCATGCTACAACTATTAATTTTTAACATGCACATACACACACTTGTACTACTCACCCAACTCCCTGAAACAGCAGAGGCTTTAACTCTGAATGTCCAGTAATGGTGTTTGCCTTGATGATGTTTGAAGGGTCAGCTACTATCAGTGTGTGCTAGGTAGCAACAAAAATCAACACTGTTACATCAGGTTAAACCTCCATACGTGTACACTGGACAAGCCCCTCCACCTTATCTATAACCAACAACTGAATCCCCATAAATTATTGGCATCAAATAAAATTACTGCTTCAAGCAACCACTCAATTCTATTCTCAAAGCTCTAATTTATAAACTTGGTTCAGAAACATACAATGACCCTCCCTCCCTTAAGGTAATTCTTCTGAAATAAAAGTGACAATAGATATTTGTTCAAACTTTGTCCACTGAATATTTGTCATGTGATAACTTCAATTTTGAAATAAAAAAGGGGGGTGCCCATGCTCATTAAGGAGCAGTGAGGCATTGACAATGCCCCATTTTAGCATTATTTAATGCTTATTATTAAAGTGCATTTCCAGTAATTGTAACATCTTTGTGAACCCGGACTCATAAGAACACGCATTAAACTACAGTCAATACATTGTGTCGGACACAAATAAACATTTTAAGCTTGATTCAGACAGAAAGCTAAATCCTNACAGAGCTCAACATCAAGGCAAATCCGTCATGTTTTCACTATGCGCGTGCACGAGCGCGTGCTAATGAGGCCATAAATTATGCGCAGTAAGGATGCGCAATGCAAATGTGAGGAATGACCTTAAGGTAAGTATAATGCTAGTATTTAGTCTCTCCACTAAAACAATTAGTGATGATGATGCCTGGTGGTTGCTGCTCACAGCACTGTCATGGTTACCCACTGTGCAGAGCTTGTAGCATGTGGCTCCACCAGTCTTACATGTACAAGCACCTTTTCCATGCCTACATGTATCTAATAAGACAAATCTTAGTCCAAAATTATGGTATGTTTCAAAGGCATATGACAACCTAAAGGCAGTTTGTTTCTATAAACAACGCAGACAAATCAGTGTTGCAGCTTTGACAAACAAAATGCTGCTTTTTCACTAAATACAATCATGAATATAATGGAAATAAGCCAGTTGATGTACCTGATCTAAGTCAGAAACATCATGGTTGATGTGATCAATGACTGATGTCTTCTCCTCGTCAAATTCCACCCCACATTCACTTCCCAGTTCACGAATAGGATCACCTAAACAAGGCCACAAGTCACTGTTAAGTTACGGTTTAAAATTATTTCTCAAAAAAAAAAAACAAAAAACAAAAGAACTTATTAATATCTTGAAGGAAAATATTTTATTCACTAACAATAATGACCATAAACTGACCAATGGTAGAGCTTGTAGCAACTAGAACATTGCCACCTCCATCAATGAAGTCCGTAATAGCTCTGACATTCAACGAGCCACCAAATTCTAAAAACAGAAGAGGAACATTTTGTTACTACATAGGGGTAGTTGTACACTTAATGAAAAAAAAAAAAAAATTTTATTTTAATATCTCTGTAAATCAATCATCTGATACATGGAATCTTATTGACCACTACCGGTAATAGAAAAGCCAAAAAAGTATTGTAATAGTGCAAATTAAAACTACTTTTTGGTTACTTCTACACAAATAAACG